CATGGGCCGGACGGGAAGTGGTTAAAAATGTCAACATGTACATCAAGCCACTACGTTTCGGGGAAATGGACTCCCCCTTCTTCAGGGCTGTTGCTGCATCCTATTGGATGGGAGTTTCAGGTGGTGGATTGGCATAGTGCCAGCTAAGGATACAGAGGCAGAATGCTTCCTCTCCAACCTTAGCCAGCACTCTGCCAATTCACCGCCCCAAATCCTGTAATCAATGTACCCTTTTAAGAACCTCTGCCATCCAATAACATGCAGCAACAGCCCTGAAGAAGGGCAAATTAATTCCTCCAAAACGTGTTGACGTAAAGTGATTCTAAAGGCTTAATTTTTTTTTTTTAATAGCAAACATGTCTATACTTTCCTGCTGTGTGTAGTGGTGGTTTGCACAGAGCAGCCTGGATCCTCCTCTTCTCGGGTCCTCCGCCGGCGCTCCAGGCCCCTCGCTTGTCGGGTGCCCCCATAGCAAGCAGCTTGCTATGGGGGCACCCGCTGCTGCATGTATCCATTCACATACGGAGACGCGGCTCGACCCCATCCCCTCTCTCCTCACTGGCTGTGATCAACAGCAGAGGGAGCCAATGTTCTTGCTGCTGTCTCGGCCAATGAAGAGAGGGAGTCCCGGGATAGCTGAGACTCCTGTGCACATCGCTGGATCGAGAAGGGGGCTTAGGTGAGTATTAGGGGCGGCTGCTGCACACAGGCGTGCACATAGAATGCATGAAGTTAAAAAACCTTAAGCCTTTACAACCACCTTAACCACTTCCTGTCCAGCCCATGTAGATAAACGGCCGGACGGTGGCAGTGCAGGAGTGGGCTGCCGTTCATAAACGGGGCCTGCATTTACAGCCTGTGCACGCTCCCAGGGAGTGCGCAGCACCGAGTACCGGTGCCCGCTGTGTCCTCCGAACACAGCGGAACACTGATCGCTGTACGGGACCTCTGTGTGAGGTCCCGATCATGTGATCACTGATTGGCTAATCAGTGATCACATGAATAGTAGTATGCAAAATGTCACTTCTGACATCATTGTTTACTACTAGTAAAATCTGTGAATGATCGCAGAGATCACATGGTACAGGGCAATTCACAACAGCATTGTACCATGTGACAAGCTGTGACCAATCACAGCTCACACTGTATTTCTCAATGGCTGCAGGAATGCAGCCAGAGAGGAGAAATGATTGCTTTTACAGGCTTTATGAGTGTAAAAGCAATCAGTGTAAAAGAAAAAAAAAAAATCTTCATCACCCCCACAAGTAGTACAGTGTCACTATGGTGACAGTGTACTGCTAGGGTGACAGTATGCGAAAAAAAAAACCCACAAAAACAAATAATAATATAAAAAATGTAAGTAAAACTGTAAAAAAAAATTTTTTTAAATTATAATTTTTGGTTATAAACTAATTTGGGGGTTTTTTTTTTTTTTTTTTTTACTAAAAAGATAACTGAATACATTTTGTCCAAGATTTATGAAGAAAGATTATTTATTCGCAAAATTTGCAAAAAACACTTTTTCAAAATTTTTGGACTTTTTCATTTTTCATATAGCAAAAAAAAAAAAACAAAAAAATCCCAGTTATGAATAAATACCACCAAAATAAAGTTTTATGTCTAAAAAAAATGCTAAGCAATTCATATGGGTACAGTGTTGCATGACCACGCAATTGTCATTCCAAGTGTGATAGCGCTGAAAGCTGAAAATTGGCCTGGACAGGAAGGGGGTGAAAGTGTCTGGACTGGAAGGGGGGGGGGGGGTGTCCGGACTGGAAGGGGGTGAAAGCGTCCGGACTGGAAGGGGGTGAAAGCGTCCGGACTGGAAGGGGGTGAAAGTGTCCGGACTTGAAGTGGTTAATGTACATGTTAACATTTTTACTAAACGTCTTGTGAATCACACAAAATGAGTTGTCATTTTCTGGACAACAGGCGCTCCTTTCTTCCTATACAAGACTGTACACCGAGCTGACCCTAAGGCCATATCTGGAAGGTAGAAGCCCAAGCCCCAAGAGGGTCCTCACCTCCATCTACCTCTGGACACAACCTACACAAAGAAATCTCTTCATTCTGACTGTACGATCACCCGCCAGCGACCATTAACTGATCCAGCCAGTGGAAGGTGGTCTCCAGCACAAACCAGATCACTCAACACACAGATGTGGCTCCTCCCCCGTGTGGCATTTCCGATGCCTCCTGAGATGCGAGTTCCTAACGAAACGCTTCCCACACTCTGGACAACAGTACGGCTTCTCTCCGGTGTGAATGCGATGGTGAAGGGTAAGATTGGAATGTGCGGCGAAGCGTTTGCCACACTCCGAGCAAGGGTAGGGTTTCTCGCCGGTGTGAACCCGCCAGTGCTGCACCAAGCAGCTATAGGCTGGGAACGATTTCCCGCATTCCGAACAAGAGTAAGGATTCTCCCCTGTATGATTTCTCCAATGGACAACAAAAGACGCCCGGCTGAGGAAACTTTTGCCGCACTCGGTGCAAGAATAAGGTTTGACTCTGTCGCCTATGTGGCTCTGCCGATGCCTTGTAAGGTGAGAGTTTCGGAGGAAGCACTTGCCACACTCTGGGCAGGAATATGGCTTCACACCCAAGTGGATCTTCCGGTGAAGGCCCAGATTGGAATAAGTGGAGAAGAACTTGCCACAATCAGGACAGGAGTAGGACGTTGTGGCTGTGTGGAGCATCTGTTGTGGGGTAAGGCCATCAGAGCTAGTAAAACAATAAGGCTCCTGTCCGGCATGAGACCTCTGATGGGCCACCAGCTCAGACCTGACCCTAAAATACTTATTGCATTCAAAACAAGCAAATGGTTTGTTGCAGGAACGGGACTCCTGGGTGTTCTTGCTTTGATCAAGGCATAAAGAAGTGTAAAAGACTGGTACATATTCCCCCTGATCCTGAGCAGTGCTAGAACGTGCATGAGAAGAAAATTTGTTCTGGTCGTGATGTTCTTCACATGGAAAAGGGTCCTCCTTAAAATGAGCAGACAGATATTGTGTGTGTTCCATCAGACTGGAGACGTCAGGCTGGAGTAGATGCTCTTCAACTATGAGCGTCTCCACCTTACAATCAGCTGATGCAGGCTGTGTATGCATGGTTGTAGAGTCTACACGGTGAGGGACATGCTCTTCAACTATGAGCATCTCCAACTTACAATCAGCTGATGCAGGCTGTGTATGCGTGGTTGTAGAGCCTACACGGTGAGGGACATGCTCTTCAACTGTGAGCATCTCCAACTTACAATCAGCTGATACAGGCTGTGTATGCGTGGTTGTAGAGCCTACACGGTGAGGGACATGCTCTTCAACTATGAGCATCTCCACCTTACAATCAGCTGATGCAGGCTGTGTATGCGTAGTTATAGAACCTACACGGTGTGGGACATGCTCTTCAACTGTGAGCATCTCCACCTTACAATCAGCTGATACAGGCTGCGTATGCGTGGTTGTAGAGCCTACACGGTGAGGGACATGCTCTTCAACTATGAGCATCTCCACCTTACAATCAGCTGATGCAGGCTGTGTATGCGTAGTTGTAGAACCTACACGGTGAGGGACATGCTCTTCAACTATGAGCATTTCCACCTTACAATCAGCTGATGCAGGATGTGTATGCGTGGTTGTAGAACCTACACGGTGAGGGACATGCTCTTCAACTATGAGCGTCTCCACCTTACAATCAGCTGATGCAGGATGTGTATGCGTGGTTGCAGGGCCTACGCGGTGAGGGAAATGCTCTTCAGCTGGGAAGAGTTCTTCCTTAACACGGGCAGACGTAATCAGTGTATGATGTGTAGTCGCGGAGATGTCACGCTGTCCTTCCTCTTCTTCGTAAGCTTTGGTGATGTTATCCAGGGTGTGAGTCACATTTTGCTGCTCTGCTGAGGAGGACTGGTCAGCTGGGGGATTTATAACAATAATGGGATTGTCACTTGAACAGTTGGGTGATGGTGGATCTGTTGGAGAAAAAAAAAAAGACAGCAGTGTCAGAGGATGGAAACATCTGAATATACAGGAGTTTGTAAACTGAAGAAAGGGTTCCTGGGAGGAGGAACTTTCCTGAACAGGTAAGGGTGTCAACAGGGTCTCAAAATGCTATAGGACAGGGGTGTCAAACTGACGGCCCTCCGGCTGTTGCGAAACTACAAGTCCCATCATGCCTCTACCTTGCTTGTAACTGCCATTCCTGCAATGCCTCATGGGACTTGTAGTTTGGCAACAGATGGAGGGCCGCCAGTTTGACGCCCGTGCTGTAGGATGAGTGCAGAGAGGGCCTTGTCAACTGCATATGACCCAAAGTTCCTTAACCCAACAGACAGGGCCAGGGGCGGACTGACCATTTGGAAACTCGGGCACTGCCCGAGGGCCCGGGGTCAGTAGGGGGCCCCATGAGATGCCCCTGGTACCTTTTTCATAGGCTTTTTGAGTTTGGGCAAGGACACAGGGGCCCCATGATCCTCTATTGCCCGGGGGCCCCAAGAGTTGTCAGTCCGCCCCTGGACAGGGCCACTGATAGGGGGACAGAAAATAATATGAAATATATATATATATATATATTTATAAAATTTTCGGATATATCATATATCTGTGCACCCCTACCGAAAACCAATGGGTATTGGTACTTTGCATCTACACAGCTTATCTACTGAGTATAGTGGCTAATAGTATTGTCTTTACCTCTATGTTTACGTTTTGCCTGACTATTCCTTGATTCTGGTGCAGTAAAGGCGTTTTATACATATAGATACAGATATCAAATAAATACTCTTGCAAAGGATACCTAATACCACTGGACCAGCCCCGTAGGGTGTACAGATATCTGCAGCTATGAATGCTGTGGAGAATGAGTACTGCTGGAGATCCTGAGCTAGCATGGAGAACAGCCACCCCAGGTCTATAAATATGACTGCCCTAATGAACGCATTTGCTCTTTGCAGAAACATGAGATTCTGACCCCACAAATTCTTACCCGGTGATGCAAGAGGCAGCTGGCTCTCCACCATGATGTCCTTGTAGAGGTCCTTGTGTCCTAGATACTCCCACTCCTCCATGGAGAAATAGACAGTGACATCCTGACACCTTATAGGAACCTGACACACACAATGATACAGTCACCATCCAGACACATCCCTTGTCTGTTACTGGAAAATGTCCCAGAATTCCCAGCACCGCTCACCTCTCCCCGTCAACAGCTCAATGATCTTCTTGGTGACTTCTAGGATCTTCTTGTCAATGTTTCCCTCGGGTGGCAAGGAGGGAGGTGGGGATTTATTGGACCTCTTCATGGGTCCATAATTCTACACAGTAAGATACAATTAACATCATACAGAAACAATCCCCATATTACTTCTCACCTAGACAAGAATGATGTCACGTGACCTCCCAGAATCCTCCTCACCTCTCCGGTCAGGTCTGTGTTTTATTAATAGAGATAAGAGTGATGCCATGTGACCTCCCAGAATCCTCCTCACCCCTCCGGTCAGGTCTGTGAATTATTAATAGAGATGAGTGATGTCATGTGACCTCCAAGAATCCTCCTCACCTCTCCAGTCAGGTCTGTGTTTTATTAATAGAGATGAGTGATGTCATGTGACCTCCCATAATCCTCCTCACCTCTCCGGTCAGGTCTGTGTTTTTTTAATAGAGATAAGAGTGATGTCATGTGACCTCCAAGAATCCTCCTCACCTCTCCGCTCAGGTCTGTGTTTTATTAATAGAGATAAGAGTGATGTCATGTGACCTCCCAGAATCCTCCTCACCTCTCCGTTCAGGTCTGTGTTTTAATAATAAAGATAAGAGTGATGTCATGTGACCTCCCAGAATCCTCCTCACCTCTCCGGTCAGCAGATAGATGATCTCCAGTGTGAGGTTTAAGATATTCCCAGACACATCTTGGTCCATCCTACAGTGGTTGAGGAAATTTACACTGGACCCTTGCTGTACCAAGTAACCTTCCCAGAAGATGCCACAGGCTCACAGCTCAGTTGCTTTGAAAAGAACATAGAAATGTAAATACAGTTCTGTCATCAATTATTTTAAATAATTATCATTTTAAGGCCAACTCCAGCCATGTTTAATGAGGTATGGTTGGAAACCTTGTCTTTTATAAGGGACACAGCAAGGAGCTGGAGATACACTCACCGGCCACTTTCTTAGGTCCACCTTGCTAGTGCCAAGAAAATCTCCCCCACACCATGACACCACCAACACCTTTCAGACCCATTGATACAAAGCAAAATGGATCCATGCTTTCATGTTGTCGATTCCAAACTCTGACCCTACCATCTGAATGTGACAGCAACCAGACTGCCCATTCTCCTCTGACCTCAACAAGACATTTTTCTCAACACAACTGCCGCTCACTGGATATTTTCTCTTTTTGGACCATTCTCTGTAAACCCTAGAGATGGTTGTGCATGAAAATCCCAGCAGATCAGCAAGCAGTTTTTGAAATACTCAGACCAGCCCGTCTGGCACCAACAATAATGCCATGTTCAAAGTCACTGAAATCCTCTTTCTTCCCCATTCTGATGCTCGGTTTGAACTTCAGAATGTTGTCTTCACCACGTCTAGATGCCTAAATGCACTGAATTGCTGCCATGTGATTGGTTGATTAGCAATTTGTGTTACCAAGCAATTGAACAGGTGGACCTAATAAAGTGGCCGGTGAGTGTAGATAGTAGTGGGGAGTGCGGCACGGCGCAAGAGGAAAGTCTGTGCAGAGTTTAGTGAGCTACTGCAAAAGGGATAACAGGTGCATGGTGTGGCAGTCCATATATGTTTGAAGAGTTCCAAATGGTCAGGGGTGAAGCTAGTCCAGTAGACACTAAGGGCAAGCTGCGTAGGAGCGAAGCATAACTCTGCAGAAGGGAAGCAAAGAAACACAGAGCCTCTAAGCTTGTACTGTGAAGGTATTTAATAGAAAGATAAGTAATAACTCACATCTTAGAATTTAAAAACAGGCTCATGGTTAAGAGGGTGAGACGTCAGGCAGCCTGGACTCATCTCGTCCTGCACATGCTCAGAAACGCGTCGCATTTTGATGACGTCAAACGCCACATGTGCTGATCCCGTACATCTTGGAGACTCTGCCACGCCTGTTTTTAAATTCTAAGATGTGAGTTATTACTTATCTTTCTATTAAATACCTTCACAGTACACACTTAGAGGCGCTGTGTTTCTTTGTTTCCCTTTAGTGAGCTACTGGTAGGTGAGCCACAGGGACTGGTAAAGAGCCAAGAATGTGACCTGCAGGGACCAGGGGAAGTAGTCTCAGGAGGTGGGAAACGGAGGCTGCTGAGAAGCCAGGTATGTGACCTGCAGGGACTGGGGGAGTTATAATCAGGAGGTGTGTCATGGAGGCTGCTAAGAAGCCAGGTATGTGACCTGCAGGGAACGAAGGAGGTACTATCAGGAAGTGGGTCTTTGAGATTTTTGAGGTACCAGGAATGTGACCTGCAGGGACGAGGGAGGTACTATTGGCAGGTGAATCATAGGAGCTGCTGAGGTGCCAGGGATGTGAATTGCAGGGACTGAAGGAGGCACTATTGGCAGGTGAATCATAGGGGCTGCTGAGAGGCCAGGTATGTGACCTGTAGGGACCAAAGGAGGTACTATCAGGAGGTGGATCTTTGAGATTGTTGAGGCGCCAGGGATGTGACCTGCAGGGACCGAGGGAGGTACTATTGGCAGATGAATCATAGGAGCTGCTAAGAGGCCAGGGATGTGACCTGTAGGGACCGAAGGAGGTACTATTGGCAGGCGAACCATAGGGGCTGCTGAGAGGTGGTACTATCAGGAGGCAGGGCTTTGAGATTGTTGAGGTGCCAGGGATGTGACCTGCAGGGACGAGGGAGGTACTATTGGCAGGTGAATCATAGGGGCTGCTGAGAAGGTAGGGATGTGACCTGCAGGGACCGAAGGAGGCACTATCAGGAGGTGGGTCTTTGAGATTGTTGAGGTGCCAGGGATGTGACCTGCGGGGACCAAGGGAGGCACTATTGGCAGATGAATCATAGGGGCTGCTGAGAGGCCAGAGATGTGACCCGCAGGGCCCAGGGGATGTACTATTGGAAGATGGGTTATGTGGGCTGCTGAGAACATGGGATATGACCTGCAGGGACCAGGGGATGTGCTATCAGGAAGTAGGTCATGGAGGCTATTGTGAAGCCAGGTATATCACCTGCAGGGACTGGGGGAGGTACTAACTGAGTTATAAGGATTTACTCAATCTGAGATAGTGGGCGGGGGCTCAGCAGTAGCTGTAACTACCCCATAGCAATGCCCATAAATTGGGCTTCAGCCTGGTGTGAAGCTACAGAGAGCACAGACAAAAAAATATAGATGCATTTAGCGCCAAACCACACCATGAATTGCTACATGCAGGTGGTCCCTATGAGGATTTTTTAATTGCAGTGATAAGTCTTCTTTTATCCCTTGACAGCTATACGCATATATGCGGCAGGTGGCCCTTAATGGCCATTCACTGCAGCACAGTGGCTGAATGGTTAGCCCTTCTGCCTGGCAATACTAGGGGTCATTTGTTTGAATCCCAACCACCTGCCTGGAGTTTGCATGTTCTCCCTGTGCCTGTGTGGGTTTCCTCCAGGTACTCCGGTTTCCTCCCACACTCCAAAGACATGCTGGTGGGTTAAATGGTTCCTGTCTAAATTGTCCATAATATGTGTATGTGAGGTAGGGACTTTACATTGTACGCCCCTTGAGAGTCAGGGACTGATGTGAAAGTACAATATATATGCAAAGCGCTGCGTAACTTGACGGCCCTATATAAGTACCTGTAATAAAAAATAGGCAGTATGCGTCGGGGTGTGGTCCACTGGCGTCCCCCAGAACCATTAGCAAGCTACTGTGGACAGCTCGCGGTCAAGCGCCAACAATCTGGAGTCGGTAGGACGGGATCCCAATGACATCAGCCCATTTGAAGCATCGATGCCTTCTGGCGTAAAAAAGGGGTTAAATGGCAAATATTCATATAAAAATAATAATATTAGGTGAAAATAAAAGCGTTTATGTTTTAACATTCCCACTAATAATATAGTTAGTATAATTTTATGACATCATAGCAGCAATATAAATAATAACAACGCAAACAACAACACTCTATACATTACAACTGTTACTAGCACAATAAAAGGATCAGCAATACTGAAATGTTTCCATTATCGCTCAAAATATAATAAACTCCATGTGATGACATCATGACAATATTAATAATAATTCCCTCCAATGCTGGGAACCTGTTTACTCACATCAGCTTCTCCTGCATTCCAAGGCACTTCCGGTCTGTGCGTTCCAAGCATTCAGTTGTGAGTTTCAGAGGCCGGAAGAGGACCCGCTGTCCAATCGCAGCCAGAAAGAGGCGCCCGGAAGAGGCTTGAAACGCAGAGCCGGCCCGGGTGGTGGACCGCAGAACCCGGAAGTGATGTGAGAGTGGGTATTTTTAACTAAGAAGCTGTTTAGAAAACGTCCTCCAGCCAGGTAGGAGTGTGACAGGCCGGAGGTATTACACCTCAGGGACCGAGCTGCCTTCATACAAACAGCCTTGGTCCTGCCAGGCATGTTTATTATGTATTTTAGCCTTTGAGGTTTTGTTTTTATTATATCATTGTTATTTAGAGGGTTTTATGTTGTTATTGTTATAATTTACTATTTAGTCTTTTTTGAAGGGCTCTTCTTTTGTGGTGCGTCATACCATCTGTTATTACTGTTACATCAAGGGGGTGGTGACTACGCGGGGACACCGGCACAGCATGGACCCCAACCGGAGACGTATGACTGACAGCGTCCTCAATCTCACCCTGGAGATCCTGTACCTGCTGACCGGAGAGGTGAGGAGGATTCTGGGAGGTCACATGACATCACTCTTATCTCTATTAATAAAAACAGACCTGACTAGAGAGGTGAGGAGGATTCTGGGAGGTCACATGACATCACTCATCTCTATTGAAAAAACACAGACCTGACCGGAGAAGTGAGGAGGAATCTGGGAGGTCACATGACATCACTCTTATCTCTGGTAATAAAACACAGACCTGACCGGAGAGGTGAGGAGGATCCTGGGAGGTCGCATGACACCCCTCTCATCTTTATTAATAAAACACAGACCTGACCATAGGGGTGAGGAGGATTCTGAGAGGTCACATGACATCACTCTTATCTCTATTAATAAAGCACGAACCTGATCAGAGAGGTGAGGAGGATTATGGGAAGTCACATGACGTCACTCTCATCTCTATTAATAAAGCACGGACCTGACCGGAGAGGTGAGGAGGATTCTGGGAGGTCACATGACATCACTCTCATCTCTATTAATAAAACACAGACCTGACCAGAGAGGTGAGGAGGATTCTGGGAGGTCACATGAGATCTTCAGATATCCAAATGCCATATTTTATCGGTGTATCATCAAAGGTTTTGCCGTCTCTATAACTGGGAAGGGAACACCTCAACTGTGTCTGACATTTTCACCTCATTTCTTAGGACTATACAGTTGTGAAGAAGACATCCGGCCAGCCGGTGGTTCCCTCCGAGCAGACACAAGGGTCAGGCGAATGGAGCAGGAGCCAGAGTCCTGTCACCGCTCAATCGGTTCTTTCACCATCCCATGGAGAAAACAACGACAGGAAGGTCTTAGAACTTGCCAACAGGATCATTCACTTCCTAACGGGAGAGGTGAGCGGTGCCGGGAATTCTGGGACATTTTCCAGTAACAGACAAGGGATGTGTCTGGATGGTGACTGTATCATTGTGTGTGTCAGGTTCCTATAAGGTGTCACCACTGGTCTCTCTCTCTCGTTCAGGTCTGGCAGTATTTAATGGGACACAAAGACCTGGTCAAAGGTGTCGTGATGGAGAATTGCAGTACAGACGCCTCCGAAGGTAAGAGGAG